CCTCTTCCCCCCTTCCCCTTTCCTCTTTCTCTTTTCCCCTCTCCTCTTTCTCGTTTCCCCTCTTCTCTTCCCCCTTTCCCATCTCTTCTTTCCCCTCTCCTCTTTCCCCTCTCCTTTTCCCCCTTTCTCTTCTTTTTCCCCTTTTTCGTCTCCTTTTTCCTCTTTCTCCTCTCCTTTTCCCCCTTTTCCTCTCCTTTTCCCCCTTTCCTCCTCATTTTCCTCCTTTCCTCCCTCCTCTTTCCCCTCTCCTCTTCCCCCTTCCCTTTCCTTTTCTCCTCTTCCCCCTTTTCTTCCTCCCCCCTCCGTGTTTCCCTGCCCTCCGCTGTGCTCTGGGCTGTGCGAGGCAGGGCCAGCGCTGCCCCAGGTCTCTGCGTCGCTGTGGTTCTCCCGTTGGTGCTGGGGCAGCAGTGGTCCCTGCAGGGTGTCCGGAGCTCCCGGCGCTGCCTCGCTCGGCTCTCCAGCCCTTCCCTGCAGGCACGGCTCACCGTCATCGCCAGCCGCAGCCTGGAGCGAGTGGTCGAGGTGAGTGTGAGGATCCTGCGGGAGCTGGGAGGCCCTCCCCGGGGGAGCTGTGCAGCAGGAGAAATGCCATCCCAGTGCAGCCCTGGCTCTGGCTCTGGGTAGGATGGGTGCAGGTTTGGGGGGCTGCACCCCCCACACCTCCCAGCACAGCTCAGGTAAGCTGGAACCTGCCAGCTCTGGGGGTCTATCCCACACATCCCCTTAGCTTCTCGTGGGTGAGACAGAGAGGAAGGAGCTGTGGGGGAGGTATGCAGGGACATGGCAGAGCACCAGGTCAGGCTTAGCTTCAGCTTCCAGCAGGATCAGACCCTCTTGTGCGGGCGCTGTGTGGGTTGAGGTTGGTGCACTGAGCCCCAGGCCTTCTGCTGTCCTGTGTTTTGAGGCAGAAGGGGAGGATGCAGGTCTGGTTCACTGTCATTCCACATTCCCTCGTGCTCATGTGCCTGGAAAAGCTGCAAAGCTCAGCAGGTTTGTAGCCCTCAGAGCCTGAGTCTCCTGAGGCCCAGGGGCTGTGTGCCCAGGAGCTCAGTGCTCCTGTCTGTTGGGGCTCAAAGCTGCTCCAGGAGGGCCCAAAGAGCCCAGCAGCAAGGTGGGGTGTCCCTGGGGTGCCCCTGGGTGCTGTGGGGTGGCTGCTGAGCTTGTGTGTGTTAATTTGTGCTTAATTTGCTGGGGAAAACCATGTTGTTAGTGAGCCTTGGGGGTGGCTTGTGGCAGACATGGGCACAGAGCCTGGCATCTGCCTGCTCAGCCTTTGTCCTTTTGCCCACTGACTTTTTTTTTTTGATCTAAAGGTTAGTTGGGTCTGGGTTTGTGCCAGAAATGCCTCATTGGGGTCCAACCTTTGTACTTGCCCTGCAGAGATGTTGCTCAGGATGTGCTATGCCCACAGCAGGTGGTGCAGGGAACTGGGCCTAGCAAGCTGTGGCCTCAGGGCCAGCCCAGCATCCAGTTTGGTTGGGATATGACATGCAGAAACTTTCCCTGCCAGACTGGAGCTGTGTTCTGGCAGGTTTGTCCCCTGCCCACACTGTTTGCTGTGTGCTGACATGGACGTGGCTCCTGCCTGACTTCTTGCTCACCTCGTGCAAGCTTTGGCTCCAAGCCCTGCTGAAGGAAAGGGTCCCAGAAAGAACCTCGAGTCTCTCTTTATTTGTGCAGGCCTCTAAAAAGCTGGTGGCAGCCACAGGGCAGCAGTGCCTCCCTCTGTCCATAGATGTCAGACAGCCCCAGACCATCGCGGCGGCAGTGGATGAGGCACTGAAGAAGTTCCAAAGGATTGACATCCTCATTAATGGTAAGGATGGAGTGGGCAGGGGGAGGATCTGGGACTCTCTGCTGGGAAGGGCATTTTCCTGCCCAGGCATCCCTGGGAGAACAGAGGGAATGGGCTCAGAGGAAGCAGAGAGCCAGTCAAGGTACATGGCCATCCCTTTTTTTTCCTGCTCCCACTGCCCCCTCCAGCCCTCGGGCTGTTCCTGCTGCAGGGCACCCAGAGCCATCAGTTCTTTATCCCCTTACCAGGGCTGTCTCCAGGTGCTCTCCAGTCTGCCCAGACATTATCTCTCCCCCTCCCTCTCACAGAAGTGCCCTGAACCTGCAGGGTCTCTCCTGGCCCTGTCCTGACTGTTCCCTTGGCTGCTGGTTGTCCAGGTGCTGCAGGAAACTTCCTGTGCCCAGCCAGTGCCCTGTCCTTCAACGCCTTCAAGACAGTGATAGACATCGACACCATTGGCACCTTCAACACCTCCAAAGTGCTCTTTGAGAAGTATTTCCGAGTGAGTGGCACAGAGGGCTCTGAGGGAGAGGCTCTGGGGGTGGTCTCACCCCACACTGTGCTCCTGAGAAACTCGGGTGTGTGGAGGGCAGAAGGGAGCACAGCACACACATCCTCGGGGCCTTTGCCACCCACCCTGCACACACCCAGTCTGTTCCCTTCCAGGGATCCCAGCCCTGAACTGGGGCTGTTGTGGCACCTTTCCATGCTCTGCCACCCATACAGCTGCTCCTTTCCCACCTCCTCTGCTCTCCCTCAGCCTTTCCTTGTCCCACCTCTCCGCAGGGCCCTGCTGGCTGCCCCAGCTCTGAGGTTGGGTGAGCAGTGCTCCCCCAGTGCTGGCTTAGCAACACAGAGGTGGCAGTGCCCATGGGTGCCTGTCCCCCCTAGCCCAGCTCTCCTGTCCCCCCACAGCCCTGTGTGACCCTTTTTGCTCTTCCCTGCCTCACTCCATGTCTCCTTTCCTTCCCCAGGACCACGGTGGGGTCATTGTCAACATCACAGCCACCCTGAGCTACCGAGGGCAGGCCCTGCAGGTGCATGCTGGTGCTGCCAAGGCTGCCATAGGTACCTCCACAGTCCTTGCTGGGGCTCTGAGCTGTGTGGTGCCAGGAAGGAAGCCAGTTCTTTCCAAATAATGGGGAGAGGCAAGCATGGGTGGGTTTGGTTGCTGCGTGTCTAGGTTTGGGATGAGGTTTGTACCCCCAAGGGCTCTTTGCTGTCAGTCAAGAGTCTTCTGTGGCCTTTTGTTCCCCCTCAAAGAAATGTTACTGGAGTGGTTCTGCTCCCCATGTCTCACTGCTGCTGTAATCCCTCCCCAGATGCTATGACCCGACACCTGGCTGTGGAGTGGGGACCCAACAACGTCCGAGTGAACAGCTTGGCCCCAGGGCCCATCACAGGCACCGAGGGCTTCCGGAGGCTGGGTGAGACTCCTGGGCTCCCACCTCTGCCTCTGTGGTGGTCATCCTGGGTGGGCACTGCAGGGGACAGATTCACACAATCGATCAGGTTGGACAAGACCTCTGAGATCATCGAGTCCAACCTATGACCTAACACCACCATGTCAACCAGACCACGACACTTAAGTGTCATGTCTAGTCTGTCCTTGAACACGTCCAGGGATGGTGACTGCACCACCTCCCTGGGCAGCACATTCCAGTGTCTAATCACCCTTTCTGGGAAGAAATTCTTCCTAATGTGCTCCCCTGGCACAGCTCGAGACTATGTCCTCTCCTCCTGTCACTAGTTGAGAGAAGAGCCTGTTCCCCCTGGCTCCAGCCTCCCGTCAGGGAGCTGTAGAGGGTGATGAGGGCTCCAGGGGCAGTGCTGCAGTGCCTGGCAGGTCGTGGGGGTGTCCACACGCTCCCACAGTCCTACCTGACTCTTTTTCTGCCGCTTGCAGGTGGGAGGTTTGCGGAGGCAGCGCAGCAGTTCGCCGTGATCCCCCTGCAGCGCGCGGGGAACAAGACGGAGATCGCCCACAGCACACTGTACCTGGCGAGTCCCCTCTCCTCCTACGTGACAGGCACCACCCTGGTCGTGGACGGTGGGAGCTGGCTAACCTCTCCCAACAACTTTGCTGCCTTGCTGGGTATTGCCTCATCCTCTGCTAAACTCTAGGTGACTGCATTTCCCCCTCGTGGGATTGGAGCAGGGCTCAGTAGGGAAATGCTGTTTCCCTGGGGCACAGGGCACATATCCTGTGGGAGTATGTGACGGGAGCTGTGGGGGCTCAGCCTGGAGAAAAGGAGGCTCAGGTGGAACCTTCTCCAACTCCCTGACAGGAGGGGCAGCCAGGTGGGGTCAGGCTCTGCTCCCAGGGAACAAGGGACAGGACAAGGGGAAACAGCCTCAAGCTGTGCCAGGGGAGGTTTAGATTGGATATTGGGAAAATTCCTTGATTGAAAGGGTGGTCAGGCACTGGCACAGCTGCCCAGGGCAGGGCTGGAGTCACCATCCCTGGAGGGATTTAACAGCTATGTGGATGTGGCACTTGGGGACAAGGTTAGTGGTGACCTTAGTGCTGGGGGAATGGCTGGACTTGATGACTTCAGAGGCCTTTTGCAACCTGTGTCATTCTCTCTGGATGCTTGTCCAGACACCTATCAATGTCCCCCAAAACCACTCCATGGCCCTTCTCTGTGCCCCAGCAGCAGGATTGGGCACGAGTCCCCACAGCCTCTGCCTCCCCTCTCTTCCCTGCAGGAGTTCCCCCAGCCTGGCCAGGGGAAGGGTCTCCTTCCCTCCTTCCCCTGTCCCCCTGCCCATGTCCCACCCAGCAGCCCCAGGCAGGACTCCGTCCCCACCTCCGCTCTCTCTTGCAGATTTCTGGGCTGCAGGAGCAAACCAGCCCAAATGATGTATCTCCTGGGACTGACGGACGGACAGACGTGATCAACCACTGCCCTGGGACACCTCGGCGTGACACCTCCCGGCGTAGGCACCCATAACTGTGGCCTCTGATCAGCAGCTGGTGCTGGGTGGGCAACTCTCCTGAGCTGACCTGGCTGAGGGTGCAGGGGTGGCTGCAATGGTCACTGTCCCTGTGTGATCCCCTCCAGACTGCTCTCCTGGCCTTCCCCGACCCCCAGGCAGTGCCACCCATGGATATCTGTCCCCTCTCCTCTCTCAGCCTGAGAACTGCCCAGGATCCCCAGCAGCAGCTCCCGTGTGGGAGGGGGAGCAGCTCGGCCCCCCTGAGGGTGAACTGGGCCAGCTCTGCCTTGGCAGCAGGAGCAGCAGCTCGGGGAGGGAAGAAGGACCAGGCTGGCCCCTGGCAGGGGGAGTGACCCTGTGCCCTCAGGGGGTTCTAGGTGAGACAGAGGTCCCTGGGGGCTGCTGGGAGTGTTGCTGGATGCCTCTCCTGGGAGCAGAGGTGGTGTGAGGGCAGATACTCTAGGAGCTGGCTCTGTCTGGCTGTGGACCACAGTGCTGTAGCTGTCCCCTGGTCTGTCCATGATTGTCTGTCTGTCACACCAGTGTCACACTGTGTGTCCGAGCTGAGAGGAAATAAAAGGCTAGCTGGAATCCAGACCTTTCTGAGCAGGATACCGGGCTGTAGGAGGCACACCAGGGCTGAGCCAGGTGTGTCCCTGGTGTCAGCACCTCGGGGACACGCACCACGCTGTTCTTGTCCCTGCTGCCAGCACCCCAGGGGCCACATGCTGCTCATGTGTGGCCTCCTGCTGCTGCTGGCAGTTCTAGGCTCACCCTGAATTCCATCAGGCTTGTTTTCCCACTTAATTGTATTTCCTACTTGATTGTAGCCTTGCCAGGTTTTGCTCCTTCCTCCAGGCCAGCAATAAAGAACTTTCCCCCCTGAGCAGTGACACTTCTCACTGCTGCGTGAGCAGCACCAGCACCTGCGCCTTGCCCTGCTGACTGATCCCACTGGTCCGAATTGGGCCCTGAGGGAGGGGAGAAGGCACTGCCAGAGCCTTGTGTGGTCTAGTCCTCAGTGCTGTGGTGGCCCAGTGCTCCAGGCCCAGGTGGGCTGCGGGACATGCCACCTCCTCAGCCCCAGACAGCTCTGGGAAATGGTTCCAGCTGCCAGAGGTGATGGGGAGGTGCTGAAGGACTCAGGGCTACACTGACCCTGTCTCAGAGGGGTGGGGATGCAGTGCTTGGGCTGGGATCTGGGTACTGCCCTTCGCCCAGGTCTCTCAGGATTTGCTTCCACAGTGTCCCTCTTCCTGGATAACAGGACAAGTGTTTTCTCCTGGAGAAGGTACTTCCATGGTGTGTGTTGGTCCTCTCTGTGGGGCTGTTCCCTTCTGCTCCCTGACCTGCAGCCTGTGCTGGGAGCGTCTGATATTTCACTGTGTCCTGTTTAACTGGCACCGAGTGACCTGGGGACTCGCGGGCTGTAGTGGCTCCACGGCCACCAGAGGAAGGGGGAGCTGAGCCGTGTGCCTCTGCGGCCCCGCGGCGGGGCAGGGCGAGCTGGTGCACAGCTCGTCCCCGGACGGCTCGGGGGGTCCCTGTTCCCCCCCGAGGAGTCCGA